CAGCAGCAGCAGCAGCAGCAGGGACAGCAGCAGACTCCACAGCACGTGAACAAAGGGAACTGCGGAAGACCCCCAGACTTCTCGTGGCCCTAGACCGCAACCTTGAGCACCTTGTGGGGGAGAGCAGCAACTGCAGCGAAGCACCTCAGTGGATACCTAGCGTGCCAGCCAGCAGCAGCAGCAGCAGCAGCAGCAGCAGCAACAGCAGCAGCAGCAGCAGCGAGACGGATGCTGCGAACGACGCGTTGCAGCTGGTGGTGGTTGGAGGCCCCGAGACAGAGAACAGCGCCGGGGTGTCAACGCGGCTGGAGGTGAGGAACCTGCACGGTGTATACAAGGGGGCTGGCGCGGTGTATGCATGCAGCAGCAAGCCGCTGCAGTGCGGTGCTTCTTCTGCCTCCTGTAGCGTCTGTTTCACGTTGCGTACAGCAGCAGCAGGCGGGAGCAAGACAAGCAGCAGCAGCAGCACTAGCAGCAGCAGCAGCAGCAGCAGCAGCAGCAGCATCAGCGACACCAGCAGCCTTGATGAGGGAAACCCAGTAACGAGGATTTTCTTTGGGGCTGTCGACAGCAGGCTCTGGGGGCAGCTGCTCATGGGCTGCTGGGACGGGGCCACGGACGCAGCGCTGCTGCAGCTGAGCTCGCGGGAGCTGCTGTGTGGCTTTCAGCCACCGCTACCGGGTTGCCACTGTGGCCCCCCCCAGGGGGCCCCCCAGGGGGGCCCCCCGGGGGCCCCGCAGGTTTCCCCCCAGGGGGGGGGCCCCCAGGGGGCCCCCCAGGTTTCCCCCCAGGGGGGGGCCCCACAGGGGGGGGGCCCCCAGGTGGTCCCTCATGGACATCGTTGCGGGAAGAGGAGGGGGTTGGCGTCGCTGCTGGGGGCGCAGCGGTGGGAGAAGAAGAAGATGCGGTCTGCGTTTGAGAGTATGGTGGGGTGTACGGGTTTGCGTGTGGTGCTGCGTGCTGTGGGTCGACATTTGTTGTGGTTTAGTGGGGAGCAGCTGCTGGCTGCACAGATACTGCCACCGAGCTGTGCTGCAGTGGTACCCGTGCTGCTGCTGAGGAGACAGCCAACGGGCTGTGTCTCCTCTGCTGTCTCCTCTCTATGGAGACGCCTCCTCCTCTCCGCAACCCTGGGGCCCCCAGAAACAAACTGCCCCGTTGTTGTACCCTTTCATGAGGTATTCTACTCGCTTGACCCAGCACCAGCAGACAACCCAGCCTGTTTGGTGGGGGCCCCTGCTGCCTCTCCCC